CATCTGTGAAAATTTTAAGCTATCTTGCTCCATATCCTCACAAAATTCAAAAACTGATTTTTCAATCTGAACAAAACCAATAGATTCACACGTGAAAACGGTGTGAATATAATTAATCTTAAGTTGAGATTAACCCCCCCCCCCCCCACCTCTGCTAGTGTTAATTTTCATTAAGATAGAAAAGTTTCTACGGAAAACATAAATGCGAAATAAGTTCAAATTCCTACGATCTTGCTTGTGATTCTATCAACTTTTAACTCTTGGTTGTTATACTGGGGGGGGGGGGGGGGGGATGGGGCTCAATTGAAGTAGATTCGATTTGAGAATTAATAAATAGAAAATTCAAAATATTCTTTTGTAACAGACATTTTTCATACAAAAGGCAAATAATTCGATTTGAACAGGATTTTTCGGAACAAAACTCTTACTCAGTGAAAGATTTTCAATATTTCAATTCATCTACTTAGTTGTAACGGATTTCTCAAATTCAAATGAATTGTAAAACTTCTGTTTAATGAACAATTGTAAACATTGAAATTTACATTTATAAATCAATAAAATTTAAATTACTTAATCACAAAAAGATTGAATAATAAAACTCAAAATGATAAAATTAAAATCAATTTTTTAAAAATCCTTAATTAAAATTTCAAACGTTGCAGATTAATTTAAAATAAAAAAAAACTATCATAAAAAAATTAAAATCTCAAACTTTAAAATCTTCGAACAACCGGCAACGGCTACGTATTTTTCAAAAACATTTTTATAACAGTCTAACGTATAACACAAAAAAAGAGAGAAAAAAAAGTTTCGAAACCAAATCAACAGCAACAAAAATATTTATACATAAAACTACTCAAAACAAAAAAATTATTATTTTTTTTTTTGAATCTCACTCTAAATTAATAGTTAATGTGAATTAAAGTAGTGAACTGATATTCTAACCAGATCTTAATTCATTGTTTATTGATATAATTAAGTATTGTGTCGTATGTAATTCAATATTTTCAAAAAAAATTCAATAACCTGTTCTGGAATTTATTTAAAATATTTATCAAGTATTGACCAAGTATTGACAGAAGCTAAAACACTTGAGAAAAACTTCAAATTTCAAGAAGTTTAAATCCGAGAAAATTTTTGTGGATTTTGCGGTAAATCGATGCTGAAATTAAAGTAAGTGAAAAAATAAATGTGTAAGAAGAAAAATTAGAGGGAAAAAATCGATCAAAATTCCGCATTATTTTTTCTTTTCCTTTCCTCAATTGCACTTGTTGTTTTGATGCTTGTGTAACAGATTTTATTTTTTTCTGTGTCTTCTGCGTTCATCTCGTCTTGTTATTCATTCAATCGCTTTTAATTAACTTTGTTTCTAATCATCATTAATAATTATTAAATGTAGTTCAGTCAAGTTGAATGAATGTGGATTTGAAATATAATTCAATATACTTGCATGTATGTGCATTAAAGAAAATATCTATAAATAGAATTAGAAGCAGCAGCTAATAATAAGAAGAGGAACATAATAACATGAAATTTAAATCGATTTTTCTCGCATTTCATACTCCATTTTCGATGCTATCAGTTACTTGTTTTGTTTGCGACGAACGATGATCTTTCTGTGGATTGATTTCAGTCAATACAGTCTCAGTATCCTCAAAAACACACGCTGCAGTTCACTCAGATGATAACTTTATTATTATTATTTATTTTTTCATCTTCAATTAAAATACAATTTTTTGAATTTTCATCTTTATTTTCTATATACAGCATGTATAAGCTCCTCTATACAGTTGATCGTTTTAATTTAAATTAATGGATTACTCTCTATGTATGTAGATTGAAATGAGATTCCCTTGGGAGATTTTCTTGCTAGATTTTATGGACTTGATGCTGCTGTGAAGATCGCGCGAAATTGATAAATGTTATTTGAGATCATTTAGCACATTTTGAGTTGTTTATGTTATCAAGTTTTATTACCTTTTTGTGCTGTGGATGCTTTGGTAAAATTTTAACATGTCTGACAGTAGGTAACATACCTATGAGGAACAAATGGGATTTTAGTGTGCCATAACCCCCCCACAAATAATTGATTACACTAGTGTTGTCCAAACTGTGTGCTGAAAATACTCAAAACTCTACTCGAACACTGATTTACAAGAGTAATGCAAAGTAAGGGGCCGTTCACTTATTACGTAACGCTTTAAGGGGGAGGTCTGAGATTTTGCTACGGTTCAAACAAAAAAAATTATTTTCATACAAATTTGGTCACAAGGGGGGGGGGGGGGGGTCTAAAAATCATATTTTCGCGTTACGTAATAAGGAAACAACCTTTAAGTATATGCTGAAAATAAGAGTTTCATTGAAGTTCTAAACCTCGTGTGGCAGAACTTTTCATGCTACATTCCCAGCCCCCCTCCATAAATCAGTAACCCCCCCCCCCCCCCACCCCCCTCCCTGCAAAAAAAATTCAATACAAAATTAATATTGCAATACAAAATTAGCGAAAACTTTTCTAAAACCCTAAAAAAATCACACAAATTAATCTCAAGGCAAAGCCTCAAATGCGTATCCACAACATCGAAAACGAAATGAAAATATTTAGATGTCGGTTCATGGTCTAATTTCAGAGCTTAATTACAAATGAGCATAAAATTTACTACATTTTACTATTATTTTTTTTATCTCGATAGAATTCGACATACAAAGTTAGAGATTGTGGAATAATGAGAAAGAGACTGCTGTAAAAAAACAGTCAGCAAGTACCGTGACGAAAAAGTATTATTTTTTTTTATAAAATAAAAACAGAAATAAGTAAAATGTGTGTATATAAAATAAAAACAACTAATAGCATCCACATGTGAATAGAGTTTGAAACAAACAATTCCAAATTATTATTATGTTACGTTTCACCATCATCAACCAACTGTAAGCTCTTTTATCTTCTCATTTCTGTTATTCTATTATTCTATATACGATTTTTCTATTCGTTCTTCTTCTTCTCTTTCCTCTTCTATGTTCCAAAGAGCTCACGCTTGTGCCATAAACACATTCCGTAGCATATAAAACTTTACTTCTACCTTTTCGCTTTCATTTCTTTTCACTTAAGCAAACTTGATTTTTTATAGCTAAACATTTAAGCAGGTGAAATGACAATGGGGAGTGCGCGCAAAAATAAAAACATACAGCATCATCTCGTCATTTCTTCTTCTTTTCTGATAGATATGAATTTTATTTTGTCGTGTGTAGATTAGATGAGATTGTGAGCATCTTCAATTGGCCCATGCCACTCGATCACTTCTCAGAATTTATATCTTTGTGTTCGAGTCGTTCTTTCGTATGTGATGGCATTCCATTGAATTTACGCTATTTCAATGATTCGTTTTTTTTATGTTGTTCAGTGGCATTTGCGTAAAGTACCGGCATGTTGGGGAATTTTTTTTTAGATTAGTGGAATGAGTTTCAATATAATTATCGTGGTAAGACGGCGAATCAGTGAATATTCATAGAACACGGCAGTTTTAATTGAAATTTCGCATAGATTGCCAGTGTTTTGAGGTGATTCTAAATTGAAAAAAAATTGTGTTGTGTGGAAATGTTAAGTTTTGAGGAATCTAAAGAGAATTAAATATTTTACTAGGTTCGTTAATTTAAATAATAAAACTACTAAAGTCATATAAAGTAAAATTATGAAATTATAGCTCAAAATATATCTTAATAATGTAATACAAAGATTGATCAAGGCTCAGACTTTTCGATTTTCATTCTGAAGCTGGTCTGGTGCTATGTGATAACTGCATACAAAAAGTGGAAGTTTTATGACAAATGGAGAAAAGGAATGCGTCCCCTTCTCCCTTGTGCACCAAAATTTTTTCGTTATTATAGTGTTTTTGTGGAACTTAACCCCCCCCCCCCCCCACCCCCTTCTTTATTCCATACAAATAGTTTTAAAATCCACGGTTGGTAAAAATTGCTACATTCCTATTGATCGACATTATTAATAAAAAATATATAAAGTAATCAGAACTTGGAATTCTCTGAAGCAGTGATGGTCAACCCATGTGCCGCGATAAAATTCGGGAAATCCCACGAACCGTAGGTTGTGTGCAGTTATTATGACTGACCATCAAGGTGTGCCGTGGCACAAAAAAGGTTGACCACCACTGCTCTAAAGCGCAATCTGGCACAATCTTGAGCACCTCCATAAAATGCAGAACAATTTTTGTTATCTTATCAAAATTATAAAACGCGATCAGCTGATGAAATGAAGATTATCTTTGAGATCATCAAGATAAGCCATTTCCTAGATATTTTCAATCAACCTACCACATGACTACCAATCAATCTATAGTCATTGTTAATTCAACTCATATCTAATCATTTGGATATTTTCTAATAATTTATGTAAATCAAACAAATTAGATTTTACCGATATTTTCTCTCTTTTTATTTTGCGGTAATTGCTGAGCTTCTTACACACTTTTGTATCAAATAGCGGAACGATCTAGCTTTAATTTATTCAATTTCTACATAATTCTTTTACTATCAACTTACAGACATGCACCAATGAAATGATATTAAAGGATTAAAACCATAGTGATATTACTTAAGAATTCTCACAAATTACATAATTTTAAGTGGATTTAAAAGACAGCAACGAGAAGGCAGGATAAACTTATGTAACATACGGAAGAGATTATCTCAACAAAAAGATTAAGAAAGAATCCTAAAAACTTGTAAGTAAATTTCATTTAATTCTTAAAGAGTAAAATTTCTGCTCCAATAACAAGCGACTATGTCTTAACTGTGGATTATTTTAATTTAATTACTGTAATCGTGATAATTCAGTTAACCGTAAGATGAGATCGAAGATAAGACTAAATTAAATTTACCGGCTTAAAAATTCAAAAAATTGCGCCGCACAGAATGTTTTGTGTATGTAGCATGCCCCGTCGTCAACAGGGTTCACTGAAAATTGTTATTTTTTCAGTTTAAGTTTATTATTTGTTGAGTGTAAACGTTTCTTTCGAATTTCTCCTTCTTAGTTTTATTTTAAGTTTTTAACTGAATTTAATTTAAATTTTATGTGAATTTGTAATCGAACACAATCATAAGTGGACTATGAGGGATAAATCGAAGTAAAAACTAATTAAACGTGGATAATAATTAACGAAATTCCCGAAATAAAAAAAATATAAAACAAGAATTGTGAAAGAAGCCAACAACAAAAAGTTAAATGGTGCTGCAAAAAAAAATATAATATAAAAAAATAATAAAATATTGAACAAGAAAAGTTTCATTAAACGGCGTGACGAATTGATATGGTGAAAATTTAAAGCAATTTTCTCAATCAATCCACTTTTGGACCAAATTGCACGTTTGACTAGCTTTTCAAAATCTAAACGAGTTCTTATTTTATCTTTTTGTGAGATGACGAATCTGTCTATTTATTATTAATTCATTCATGCCTTGAGATTTGTTCATAATTCTAAGAAGGCAAGCATTAAAAAGTGAGCAATTTAATATTTAGCCAGCCTCTTCACAAAAAAAAGAAAAAAAGGTTTTTTAAAGAGATTATTATTCATCTTTCTCAAGAGAACGGATGTGCATATTTTTGTTACAAAAAATATGAAAAATAAAAACCAGCAGTGAGGAGAGACACATCAGAATATGCAAACACACGTCTTATATTTCAACGCCTTAAATCAAGTCCATTGATAAAGCAAAAATAAAAAAAAATGTCTCTCGTCGATTTGCGTGCACTGAATTGTCTATATCAAATTTCTTTAATTAATTCCCCATATTCGACAGCCAAGCAGCAATAAGAGAATAATTTTTTTTTTCGCAACGGGGCATATGAAAAGAGTTTGTTTTTATTCTTATTGCTAATTCACCTTCTTCTTTGCCATCATCATTCTTTCGATCTGACAATCAACTGTAAGTTAACTGTGCGTAATTCCAGACATATTACTTCAGATAATTGCAATTTATTTATTTCATCTGAAATTTGTTATATTCTCATTCTGTCTCTGGCGATACTCACTTAAGATTGTTTTAATGTTGAAAGAATGCAATTAAAAGAAGCTCATGGACGTGAGTGATTTTGAGCGCATTTTTTCATACTCTTTCTTTTTGTGCCTCTACAAGTGGACAGTTATCATTCTTTTGTGATAAGTGGCGAGAGAGTTAATTTGGTTTGAGTTGATTCGTCAGAATTGGATTGAATTAGTTCTGAAAATAATTAATGGAAGTTTTTAGAATGTTTTTGCGAATTTTCTAAATTGCCTGATCATGATTCTTTTGAAGTTTAATGGAGTGAGGAATTTCATTAAATTGTTGGCAATTGGATATTGGACTGAAATGCTTGATTGATTATGCAAGATGTAGTTTTGAATTGTTTGGAGTAAAAGAGAGTTAAATCAATGCTTTTTCGTGAGAACAGCTCAAAGTCTTATTGGATTTCTTGTTTTATTGTCTTAAACTTATTGTTTTGGAATGTTGAGCTTTTATGCGAATCCTTGTCATATCTGATTAAATCGTAATGATTAAGAGCTTTCTCTAAAGTGGGAACCGAACCCAAGTCTTCATAAAATAAGATTGCAGCTATTCTGTCTCTGCCTTAACCATTAGGCTGCAAACCTCCTACTCTGGCACTGGAAGATTCACCTACAATATCTCAATACCTTAGTCCTGGGAGTCCTCGATTTGAGTAAGTCGTTTGTTCCAGAAAAATCCTGTTCAAATCGAGGACCTATAGTTTACTCTGCTCAGACATCACAAATCACACATAATCCTTAAACAATCACAATTCTGGTCCAGAATTTTCAATTTAATATTCACTATTGAGCATAGTAAAATTCTGACTCCCTCGCTTCACCAAAATATTGAATAGTATCCTAGCAACACTCCCACACCAATCCCCTTTCAGTCCATCCAGCCACACCACCATTAGAACATAAAACTCGTCAAAAAATGCTAAAAATGCATTAAATTCTCTCTTTGTACAGTATGTATCATGAAGGAAGTCCAAATATGGAAGCTGTTAGTATTTTAATGAATGCATGAGAGATTTACGTGTTTTTATACGATAGGACAGCCGTTCGATGTGAGCAACAAAGCCTTGACATTGAGAGTTTTCCCCCCTAAACAAATAAAATTTTCCATAACATGCTCAAATCTCGTCGCATCAGCATAAACCGTAACATCTCCGTTAGTAAAATTTTCTCTCTCACTTGCCTCGTTTGAGTCTTTTTTTTTTATTAACCTTGACCCTCACAAATTGCTCAAACATTTTCAGTAATTTTTCATATCGACAAACGATTATTTTCATTCTTAAATTGCCATTTATTATCATTATACTGTGAAAGTCGATATTATTTTAATGTAAAAAAAAATATCTTAATACATTGACTTAGCATCAATTCATGCCAATGAATCATGCTTTAATTGAAAAAAAAAAGTGATTGTAGAATATTGTATGCATAAGCGGCTAGTAATTGCCACTCAAAATAACCTTAAAGGCAATAAAATTCAATTAAATTAAATATTTCTTTATTTCATCTCTCAAATTGCTCATATTTCTGTGTTTGATTTCAATTATCTCGATTATTTAATTATAATACAATTCAAATTACTCCTCATATAGTGGAATATCTAATGATGTACACACGACTATGACACATACGATAAAGTAAATGTTTGATCTTTAAAATTGTGTTGAAAAGTGCTGGTTGCGTCGAGACAAACATTCTTTATTTGCATCGTTTGTTGACCAACTGGTTCTGTTAAGAAAAGTTAAAGTTTTCACTTAAGGGGTTGTTCATAAATGATGTCTATCGAAGAATGGAATTTTTAGATCTAGTCTCACACTTATCACAAGATATTCCTTTGTATTGAGGGAAGAGTCTCTTCTTGAACGATGGACGTCATTTGTGAAAACTCTCTTAAGAAGTTTCGGTCTCATTGACTAAGATCATTGGACACTCCACAAATAAATCACAACTTCTTAAATAAAGTTTGCTTTTTAACAAGTTTTGAATGTCTTTTTCCTTCCTAATTGTTGCTGTTGCTCGTTTCTCGGAATGCTGTAATTTTGCATTCTTGATTTTCAACAGACTCTCTCCGTCTCGCTTACTCTCCGAGTTCTTTTCTTATCTCGACACTTTTTTTTTGTGTGTAAATTTACTGCAACTTTTGATGTATGTTGCTTTTAGAGCGAGAAATGTTTTTGAGAAGAACACGGATTTTTGTTTTTGTGGAACTGATTGTGTTAAGATGTGGATATTCTTGCTTTTGGTTGACCATTTGGATTATTAGAAATAAAATCATTGTGATTTAATTAAAATTGTTATGGAAAATCTTATAGAAAATCAAACTACGATGCCATATGTGACCCTTCATTAATTTTATTATGAAAGCAAGGTCCAAGCTAGTCAAAAAAGTATAAAAGATTTGATAAGGATTCATCCAAGAAACCTTACCAAGCGCGTAGCCAGGAGGGTCCTCCTCTTAAACGTTTTGAACCCCAGCGAGAGCACGGCCTAAAACGCTTAAGAGGGGGACAAAACCCTCCTGGCTACGCACCTGAGCCTTACCGAAGTATCATCATAACATCCAGTAGTTTATTTAATTCTTAGAACTAGAAAAGCCACAAAGAAAGTCGAATCAATAAAATTAATAAAGCCATCAGGAATAAATGACAATCTAGAGAGTTCCTGATGGAATTACGATCCTGTAGACTCAATAAATCTTAAAGGCATTAAGCTAAGTTTCAAAACAGTATGATCACGTTATCTTAATATTGAAATCACTGCTAATTCACTTATTACTGTATTTTTCCAACACTTAATGCAGTATATTTAATCCTTTCAAAGCTCTTTCTATAAATAGTAATGGGAATTAGTAGAATTCATATTTGTAGATCTGACAGTTCCTATTACTCAGGCTATAAAAGCAATTAAAGCTTTGATCTTTTTCAAGATTTTTTTTTTGATTGACAATTTTGATACTTCAATGCAAGTGTAATCTGGATGTTTTGTTTTATTGATTCTACTGGAAATTACTGCAGTTATTTTGTGACGTACGTGATCTATTAGCAATAAATTTTGAGTTTTATTTCCAACAAAATGACACTTTTAATTGCTTTGTGACTTTAAAAGTTGGCGATCTTATCCACATTTTAATTTGGTTTGGACTTAAAATAGACATTTAGTGCCTGTCCTCTAACTACCCTCTATAAAAAAATATTAATTTCATAGCAAATAGATCACAAAACTTCCCAACGCGAGAAAATAAGGTAAAATTCAAAGAAACAAAAATATAAAGCTGATCGTAAAATGAATAAGATTATTACACATCCATTAATATTTTTTTTTTCTGTGGAAATACGTACGGAGTCATAATGAACCTTTTATTGTTTAAACTTAACCGCAAATCTTTTGAACTTAATTAGCTTTAACATGTTTTGAAAATTTTCCGAAAAAAAATTATACTTGATATGGGTTAGGTTGAGGCTTGGATGCTGTTTCATGTGTCATTCAGGAATTTGTGAAAAATTGTAAATAGATGATGACTTTTGACAGTTATGAATCAAGGGTATTTCTGAGTTTTGAATGGGTCATTCAAGTTTAAATATTTAAATTAATCATTGAATTTCGGGACTTTTGAAATATAATTCAGATTTTATTATGACTTAAATTTGCTCCCTTTTAACCATAATCGTCTTTGAGAAAAAATGGAAGGTCTGATTGAAATAAAATATCCATGCTAAAAAAGCTGACTGCCTCTTTTCTTAAACAAATTTATAATCTTCCCTACTTTCTCATTAAAGAGTTATTATTACAACTGATTATAAAATTTAATTGGCTAGAAATAAAATGTAGGTTGCCAACTTTATCATCAATAATCTAAGAATTGCCACTCCTTTAGCTGATAAAGTACTTTCTAGTGATAATAAAATGCTCTTGGATTTTAGATTTCCTTATGGAACAAGGTTATTTTAGATAGGAATTGAACTTATATCTTTATATGAAAAGCAACAAAGTTTATAAAACTGATCACTCGCCTTTTAATCAGTTTCGTAGCCCTTAAAGATACAGCAGCGAATCAAATGCTTAACAAAACCTTTACCTATGCAGGTCAATTCTGATCCAGAGGTGCGCTAGGGCGATTTGCAGCTAATTGTAGTTTAACCGGTGAGGATGCACAAAATTACTGCACTTAAGCCAAGACATTCAAATTATAGTGGGATCCGAACCACTCCTTTGATGACATTACTGCCTGTAGCCTACAAAAGAAGGCTGTGAGCCTCATTTCTAGTACATATGATTCGAAAAAGAATGAACGAAAAATTTCCCATGCCTAGTCTCGAACCCATGATCGATGTGTCGGTATTGCAATAATTAAGTACCGAGGTACTTAATCATTCTGTGACCGAGTCACTTCAGCTTACTCAATCAAATACTTAATCATACATTAAGTCCTTCGATTAGAATAGAATGTATTCTAGGGTTTTGCTAATAGCAAAAGCGGCACTGCAACCGATGATCTGTTGTACCATCCTAAGTCCCCTATGCTAGAATCCCAATGTCCTTAATAAAGTCAATAATGTCCTGCTTATTTATATCCTCATCATTCAAATAGTCCTCATCAAAATGATTGCAACGAGTTAAAATGATTTTCTGGAATCAGATTTAACTTCAAACAAGAATTGAGCCTCTCAACCTTGCCAGTCTGTTTGCGATTTTCAGACTAAAAATATATCAATATTTCTTATTTCGTAAGGTGCACGCGAAAGCAAATAGATCATCCGAAAATTTCCATGCACATAATTTCTAAAAAAATATCTTTCTTCAATTTTTAGCCAAAATAACTTTCATAAAAGCAATTTAATTAATCATCGCTTAATTAATCTTCTTAGACATTTCACACGTGTTTCATACACAAGCATTCAAACGTCCTATAAGCTAGCTACTTAAAATACATTCCAAATGGCATGAATCAAAGATCAAATTTAATAATTCATAAGACTTTTAAAAAAACTCATAATCATTGCATGTGCGGGATGACAGAATAACTAATGAAGTCAATTTTAAATAATTACAAAATAATTCCGTAAGACACTCGAAATTAAATAAACAGGAAAGAAATTTTTTGTCGTTCACATTTTTTTTTGTTTTGTACCCCTCGAATAAATATTGAAGGTATAATGAGTAATGAATTTTTATCTTGACGTATATTGAACATTACATATGCCTTAAAAACAACGATAAGATAATGAAAAAAAAAATAATACTTCCACACATTATTTCTTGTTCCTTTCTGTCTTTCTATTGAACGACAATTCTTGCCTCTTTCTAAAAGGCAAATAACATGCGAGAATTCATTTCATTTGTTATTGAACCTTATAATATTCTTGTAGTACTGTAACCAAAAATGGTAAATTCATTAAATGACCAATAAAATGTGTAGGCGATGTCGTCGCGAAAAAATAAAATGAGGTTGAACTCTTTTTTTTAAAGAGGAATTAATTCAAGAAAGTTGTCGATCGAGGAAGATATTTTTTGGGATTTTAAGCGCATTTTTCTGCTGTGTATTATGTAACATTTAGGGGCTGCAAGTCTAAAACGATCGAAATTCTACGAATCTTTTTTAAAACAAGTTCATTCTTGCGTTACGTAATGAATGAACAGCTCCTGCATCAATCAATCAGACTTTGTTGTTTTGTTGTCAATGGCATATGCTTGCTGTTATGAGACATGAGTCAATGGATTGCTTTACGAAAATTACTTTAGTCAGATGACATCATTGTTGGAAAGTATTCTCCCCTTGCATGCAACACTTAATCCCTTGAAACCCCCTAAAAGCTACATCCAGTCTCAAAAATACCCCAAAACGACTCATAAGAAACCTCAAAAGCACATGTTCAAGCAACAAAACATGCCCATAACCAAAAAGTCATTCGCCTTATTCTTCCATAGTCCATTGTCAATTGAACGTGGTCTTTAATGTTTCAATTTGGTATGCAAAAAACAAGACAACAGTTTATTTTTATTTTCACATCGATTTATAAGCAATTTAGGGAACTAATTGAGAATTATAGTTTGACCTTGACAATAAAACGATCTTCATAGCCGTAGACGTAAAAATCACACCGAATCGAAGGTTGTCATTTTGGTTTTTATGCATAAAATCAACTTAATCGACATTATGGACATTGGAAATGCTAGACGGCAGTCTGAAGATGTACAAGATGTGTTTTGATATTAAACATCAATATGTGTATTGAAGGCGTCACGATATGTTGTGTGCTTAGTTCTTCATACCTTAAATGGCAAATTAGTTTGTGTATGGCACACCTTATAGGCTTGGTTTTACTCTTCTACTGATAATAAGCACGTCTATTTAATGATTAAGAAGCGCCAAAATGTGTGTGAGTTTTTATTGTGCCTTAATGACGAAGCCGGAGTCAACGAAGAGCAAATTTGCTTATTTAATTTCTTTCCAAGGCAAGCAAGAAACTTGAAATGAATAAATGGAAAAAGAACAAATTTCAAGCAGTCAGTAAAGAATGTAAGCAAACACAAAATATGCAGAGTACGACATAATTTCCAAGGTGTAACCATTATCCATTTCTTAATTGTAATTATTCCTGCTCATTTGCTTACCTCGTTTTGGACTTGATCGAGAAAAAAAGCATGAGGGTTCGTGGATAAATTAGGTCCAGTTAAATGTGCCATTTCTGACTCTTATTCGTGTCTCAAAGTCTTAATTCCAAGAATTTCTTTTTGAATGCTATCCCTTAAACTACTTGACGTCATTAAGTGATTGACCCCACGAGAAAATTGAGAAGAAAAAATTACAATTCTCTCTGCAACTTTCCGCTATCTTTTCTTTCTTTCTGAGGCACTTAAAATATTGATGTACATCATCATGATGTATATGATTCTCCACACATTTTTTTTGTAGAACAAAAGGGAAATTCGGTCGACGTTATGGACTTGAAACAAGTTTTTGTGAAGGAATTCGGTTCCTTCAATGGAATTCTTTTAAGGGCAATCATCAAAATTGCCATACTCAATTTTCATACTCATTATTATCGTTCCTTAACATGAAATTCAATCAACATTGTGTATATTCCAGCTGTGTAAACACATAACTTTTGACACAAGCAGACTCGTTGTAAAATTAGGCTGACAAAAGTGATACAATATCTACTGAAATGCTTGTGATGTCGCGTATCGCAGTAGCTGAAAAATGAAAATATGACAAGAATTTTATGTAATGTTGCTTGACAAAGCAGATATTTGTGATGTTGACATGTACTTACTGTAAAGTTTGTTAAATAATTGCTGGAAAATTTTCGTTTTGGACATCGGAAGTTTTTGGATGGAATATGAAATGTTTTGAGGTAGTGACACTAAGGAAAAGCTGTTTTTTGGGATTTTTTCTGGAAACTTAGCAATTTTGAATTGAATTTGTGTAGATGTAGCTCTAAGACAGTGGTAGGCAACCTTCTTTGTGCCAGGGTAACCTTGGTAGTAAGTCTTGAACAAAACCGCACACGTCATGCGGTTTGTGGTGTTTTCAAAAAATTTGCGGCACACAAGTGTGCTGCAGTACTAGGTTGAACATCACTGACTGGAATAAGACGAAGTTCCTATCTCTAGTAAGTCAAAATCTAGTACATCTCAAAAGTATTGACCTGAAAAACCAAGCATTGATCTCTATTTGATCAGTTATGATCATTTTGATCAGTTCCACACCATTAGAGAAGATTGTCTTGAGCAAGAAGCTCATTGTGAATAGTTTTGAAAGTGTATGTTAAAAAGCTAAAGTAAGGCAAGTCCATCGATAGCTGACTGGCACAGGTCTCAAATTGAAAGGTCAAGAATCCCAATTTTGTAGATGTGGGTTTGATTCTCATCAAATCCAACTTGTTTTGCATTAGTAACTTCATACAGAAGTTACAAGAAGATTTTCAAGAAAATTCAAATTTTTCTCAGTCTTTTCCTTATAAATCATATAGATGCGCTGTCTAGTAACCATTCTCATAGCCATAAAACTTTATTCTCTTCCAATAATATTCAAATCTCATCTTTTTCTCATCAACTTCTTTATTATTATTGTTATTTCGTGTGCATTGAAAAAGATTCATCAAGAGAAAAAGCTATTACAGCATAGAAATAAAATGAAGACAGTTGGTGAATCCGTTATAAACGTTTGTGTGAAAAAAAATCAGCAGAAAAAATATTTTTTAACTTACTCATAAAAGACTTTTGTTATCAAGTTTTGCTGTTTATAATTAGCAAACAAGATAAAATTTGTGATAACATAAAATATTAATTAATACTTCTAGGCTGGATTGTGGAGTAAAGAATCAAGTTTGAACAAGTCTGAATAATCGAAAAAATTACCAAAAATTTCCATAAAATCGTCTCACAATTTTGAAATAAGAACTCGCGATCTTAATCACATCCTCAATCATATCTAATTCTTAAAAGTACTTCTATATTCACAGTACGAAACAATAATAATCGACATAAACATTCCGTTATAGAACAAAAGAAAAGAAAAAAAATTAGAAATGTGTTAATTATAGTGCGAAAGTATCAACAAGCAGCTATAAAAATTGGAGCAGAAATTTTCAATTTAAAAAAAAAATAATAAAAATTAACTTTGTGCCACAAAACTTAAAATTAAATTTTAATCCAAAATGATTAAGCTAAAGTCATTGTTCCGTAGAGGACAAAGTGGAAGTCCTTCAGGTTCCAGTTCATCGAAAAACAATCAATCACAAGTGTCGCCTGCACATTCCGTAGGAATCAAAAACGCATCGTCAGCAACAAGTCTCGATCGTGCTGTAAGTGCATCTGCAGAACTCGGTGCAACAAGGAAACTCTCAAAGAGTCACAAGCAGTCATCGAAGGATAAATTAAATGATTTACTTCGTGTCAGTTCCAAAGAAAAGCTAATTGATGAGAAAAAGGAGTTAAAGAAGCAACACAAACTTCAACAAAAACAACAGCAACAAATGCAGCAAGTTGCACAGCAAACGACAAATGTTCATCTACCGACTGTGGTAGCTTCTTCTGGACATTTGTCAAATAGTCAGCACTCAGGACGTTCCAATCCCAAAGATTTTGATGTCGTTACTTTTGAGGAAGTTCAAGACGTAAGTTTTTAATAATTTTTTTCTAAGCTTAAAGCCATAAAATAGTTTGAACGGAAGTGCTTCTTAACATGATGAGAAAAAATTTCACTTTCAATTTAGTTTCAAAGCAACAAAACTCAAAAAATTGTCAATTGAAGTTTTCCTGTGTCACATGTGACCCAATTATCTCATCATGTAGTACTTAATGCAACATTTCATGGGATTGTAGTCATACATAATGAATAAAAGATGTGGGTGGATTTATTGAATCTGTTTTTTGCATCATTGCATTTGCAATTAATTTCATAAGAGATTAGCTTGTGCAATTATTTAAAAAAAAAAGCAACATAAATGAGGGATTTTATGTGTATAGATATGAGGAAGTCGCTTTGTGTGGCTGATGAGTCTCGTGGGAAGAAAATTGTCTATTTTGAAAATATGCTTGCTGGATTTTTTTTTGAAAGATGCGTAGAATAAATCTGTAATAATAGACAGCAATGGCTTAAAACAGTGATGTCCAACCTATGTGCCGCACAGGGGCGTAGCCAGGAATTTAAAGAGGGGGTCAAATTTTTTTTTTGTATGGAAAAATTTAAGGGGGGGGGGGGGTCAATTTTTTTTTTGTATGGAAAAATTTAAGGGGGGGGGGTCAAAATTTTTTTTGTATGGAAAAATTTAAGGGGGGTCAAAATTTTTTTTTGTATGGAAAAATTTAAGGGGGGTCAAAATTTTTTTTGTATGGAAAAATTTAAGGGGGGGTCAAAAAAATTTTTTGTATGGAAAAATTTAAGGGGGGGGGGGGGTGATTTTTTCATAATAACCCTAGCAAAATACAGAAATTTCTGTTTACGTTGGGGGATTTGTCTGCGCCTTATAGCTCATAAAGCTCTTTCATACTTAACTAATATCAATTTCCCTTCAATTCATCTCTTATTCACTCCGTGTGTGTCTTTTTTCGACTCGCATAAAATTTAGATAAGACATAAGCAAACGATGCAAGAACTACATCAACTGCAGCAAGAAAATGCGAGCTTGGAGATCAAGATAAAGGAATTAACAACATCACATAATGAATTACTGCTATTGCGAAAAGACATACAGAAACTCCAGCAAACAAATGAAATAAATAATTCAAAGCTTAATCAACTTGAAGACGAGAATGAGTCGTTACGAATGCGATTGAGAAATGTTGTACAATCGCCATTATCTGACGCTGAGAAGCAGCAAATGATTGAAGATACGCGCCATCATAATTCAGCTCCTGCTTCAATCTCAATGACACTTCCAAACGTAAGTAGTCTCATTTATTTTATTGTCGTAGTGAAAGTCTTTTAACTTTATTGCCTCAACAGTTTGGTCCAAATACTGAAATGGATGGATCTTGTGTAACCACGCCTGATTGGGATAAACAATCATCCAGCAGTGAGGTTTCCGTAGCATGTTTGCAAGATAAAATTATTCAAATGGAAGAGACACATCATTCGACTAATGAGGAGCTGCAGGCAACATTACAGGAACTTGCTGACTTACAAAATCAAGTCTTAGAACTACAAAATGATAATGAACGATTGTCAGATGAAAAAGATGTGATTTTCCAGTCATTATGTCGTCAGACTGAAAAATTAGAGGATACTCGTACGCAAGTCGAGACATTACAGAAATTACTCTTACGTGAATCGAATCATCAAGATACAGCATCATCAGAACGCGAGCAGAAATTAATGGATTTATTGAAAAATGCGCAAGAAGAACGTGAGAGCTTAATGATTAAATTAGAGGAATTGAATTCGGAATTGAATGATAAAAATCAATCATTGGAAACGTTTCAATTGGAAAACAGTCGCTTAAAAGAGAGAATTAGCGTTCTCGAATCAACAATCGATGCAACAACAGCCGACCGTAAAGAAATCGAACGTCAATTAAGTGCATCGAAGGAGGAGGCATCGTCGACGAAAATTGAAGTAACTCGCCTCACAACATTACTAGAGAATGCACGATCTAAAATTGACGAATTGGAACAAGATCGAGCACTCGGCGAGAAATCAGACTTGGGCGAATTACTCGACATTGCACGTAAAGAGAAAGATTATCTTGAAATTGAAATAACAAGTCTGCAAGAGCAATTATCAAAAAGTCAAAATGAAACACAAAAATTGCGTGATCAACTTGCTGGAATAACGGAGGAATGTAAAGTTACTAGAAATAATGCCAAATGTGCATTAAGTGATTTAGAATATAAATATGAACAATTGAAACAAGAGAAACTTAAAATACAAAGTGATTATCAAATACTTGTCGATACAACAAATGAACTTCAAGTAAGTTTCAATGCCTCAATCGTCACTAGTCATTCATTACTTAATAGCCGTTTATTATGTCTATTTTTTTTCTAGGTTCAAAGTAAATGTCATATGGAAGACAAAGCTCAATTAGAAAATCTTCTATCCGAGACCCAACGGCATCTTGTGGATACAGAACGTCAGCTGGCCGACAACAATGAAAAGCTTGATTGTGAAGTTCGAGCTAGAAAATTAGAGAATGAAGAGTGGGAACAATTCCAGCAAGATCTCCTTGTGTCCGTTCGTGTGGCAAATGACTTTAAAACAGAGGCTCAACTCGCTCATGAACAAATGGCTTTAGATAATAAGTTGTTACGTGATAAGGTAAATATTGGCACTTCTGTTGTTGCGACCAAATTATTTATTTGCTTTTTTTTTTGCTTGTCGTTTAGATTCGCGGGATGGAAACACAAATTGAGAAACTTAATAAGCGTAAGTATTGTTATTATGTCAATTAGTATGCTTAGTAAGCACATTTTTGCACAACAAAATTCTTTTGATTTTATTTTGCTGCTCAAAATTATTTGATTTCGGACTTTTTGCACTTCTTTAATCGCTCATTTCTTTCTTCCTCTGGATCATTCAATTACTTAAGCTTATGGAAATTTCGGTGACATGTTCTAGAGTGTTTCTAATTTTGACTGAAGAATCCACAAATCAAAAGATATGCCAAGAATAATCAAAAAGGCATTCAAAATTGTTCAAGAATCTCTTTCAAAATTTTAGTGAACGAAATATTCAAAATTGACAATTTCCTTCTTAAACTCTGCAACAGTTAGTATTGATCATATATCAATAGAGCTACCAGAATCTGGTAATCTGATCTCTATCCATGGTTTATTCATAAATGACATCTTCATTTTTGAGGAGTAAGAAAAGTCTTACCAAGTAATCGATGAAGTAGGAAGTCTTGTCTCCGATTCTTTGTATTGACGTCATTTATGAAGGACCAAAAAATTTAATACAGTTCAAGATTAATCCAATTACAATACTCAAAAAAAACCAATTAACCCCCAAAAAGTTGTCTCAACAAAAAGTTGCAAAAATGCGCTCCATATCCCTAACCTTCTGTGACTTTTCTTACTTGCTTTGATATTAGAATAGTCTCTAATAAACCTTATAAATTTCAAATGAAACTCGAATGTAAATAGTAAAATCATTAGACGATGAAATTCATCCTGTGAAACTAACACATGCGCCATACAATGAGACGATTGAAAGACAAGAGACTACAATGCAAGAAAAGGATGGTAGTTCCAATGATGAAGTTCAATTTGAAATTAATCGTATGAGAAACTCATTGAATGCATTGACATTGAAAAACTTTATGTTTGATGTGAAGAATGAGAGTGAAGAAGAAATAATAAGAATGGAAGTAAAAGAAATTGAAGTGACTGAGGAACTGGCTAAACCTCCATTGAGGCAGGCATCATCAAAGCATAGACAAGAGAGCAACAGAACATACAGCGGCTTAATCAATCAAGATGATATTCTCAAGGCATTGATGGAAAGTCAAGAAGAAATTAATGATGCTGAAAATTCAGTCAAGCAGAAACAGAAAGTGAAGTTTGCAGAAGAAGACGAGATAGATGGTCGTCCGAAAGCATTAAAAGACTCTTCACGAGAGTCAGACGAAGTTGCGATAATCAATGAACTTCCATGGCAGAAAAAACATCGCGGACATAAGACAGTAACGCCATACTTTAAGCCAAAAAATAAGATTAAGGCATTGAGCAATGAAAATGTATCGGAAGTTCCGAAACCGATTGAATTTCAGCCAATTGAAAGGAATCGAAGTAGTGAGAACATTCCAAAACAGCTTGTTCGTCCAGTTCCAATATTATTTTCATCAAAAAGCTACCAGGAACTGCCAACAAAATTCGAACCATTTGATAATTTCCGAACAAAATCCAGTGATGACCTGCTCCTCGATGATATCGATGGAATCCGTAAAATCACAGAAAGCAAAACTCATAAATTATTGAGGATGCGAAGTTGTAGTAATAACAGCTTAGATCGATCCAGTGACCAGATAATTTACGAGAACTTTAATTATGAAGTTCCACTTTCTGCTGATCAAGTAATGATGAGAACGAAAAAAAAGCCATTGCCACAGCCACGATTAAGTGCTGATGTGAATGAATTAAAGAAGCGTACATCCAAAACAGTTGTCTATGTGCTCGATAAGCAAAAGGATGAATTTGTTCTTCAACCATCCGAAATTGACGATGCATATGAGAATGTTCTCGTTCAAAACAATGTCGATGCGTATCATGATTCAGACTTTTTCAATTCCCTTCTAAGTTCTCGTGATGATTGTAAGTTTTGTAAAGCACAATACACGTCCATTATTCTGTTCACACGCATTCTGGTGCATTTATCATCTCAAAAAACCTTATTTTTTTTTTCTTTAAAAAAAATCATAAATCTGTGTACATTGTTGATTGTTAATCAATGGCGTATTTGTGTTTTGGAATCGGAATGAAAAATTATGGTTCTCATATGTCTGTGTCTTGTTCTTATAACAATTGTTGATGTCTAATAATAATAAAATCCATTTCTTTGTTGACTATTTTAGCGCTATCTACTTCAAAATGAACTCATTTGTCCTTCTATACTCACATCACTAAAGGGATCATTCACTTATTTTAGTCTATGGGGGTTCAACCAGTGTTGTCCAAACTGTGTGCCGCGGTACACTGGTGTACCATCGAAAATTTTTGTAAATGACACGAGTCACATACTGTGTGCCGTGGCTCAAAAAGTTTGGACAACACTGGATTAGGGGTCGTTCACTTATGACGTCTATCAAAAAACCTGATTTTTAGACCCCCCCCCCTTCTGTCACAATAATTCAATAGAAAAAAATTTCCATTGTTTGAACTGTCAGAAAATCCTAGACCCCCCTCCCCCCCTAAATGTCGGACGTCATAAGTGAACGGCCCCTTAGTCACTTCAAATGAAAGAAGAAATGATCTAAACTTTTTAGTGGGATTTTAAAAATCAAATTTGTTGACTGACGTAATTAGTGAATGAACCCTAAGGGTTCGTTCACTTATTACGTAACGCACTAGGGGGGGAGATGGGGTCTAAGATTTTGTTACGGTTTGTTACAGGGGGAGGGGGGGGTCTAAATTTTGTTACGTAACTTTTCAAAAAATATATTTTTTTATAATTTTTTCTATATTAATTTTAAATTTTAAAGGAAGTATAATAAACATTTGATAAACAATTTAAATGAAAAAAATTATTGTTACGTTATGGGGGGGAGGGGGGTCTAAGATTTTGTTACGCTTTGTTACAGGGGGGGAGGGGGGGTCTAAAAACTCGTTTTTTTGCGTTACGTAATAAGTGAACGAGCCCTAAGTGAATTACGTCTTTATGTTTTGAAAAATGCGCTACCATAACTTGTCTATGAGCAATCTTGTATTATTTGTTAATCTGATGACTAAGATTGATATTCGTACTATAATTAATGTTTCATTTCTCCATTCTCTTTCTCTCCCACAGTAGTAACATCATCAAATGAATCACAACAATCTATATTAACGACTGTACAGCAAGAAATGGCTCAACGTCGTAAGCAGAAAAGTAACGGAAATCCAGTAGTAGTAAAAAATGGTACAGCTCCAAATAATAATGGTATTGTGGCAAACACTACGTTCATGACACGACAAGACTCTCGATTGTCAGTAAAAAGTTTAATTGAAAGCATTGAAAACACTTCAAAGCAGACGAAAGTGTCGACAGATTCGCAGTCGGGATCAAATACGAGTCTAAATAACTTGACGGCTATAGAACAACAAAATAATAATAATAACAATAATATTACTGAAAAGTTATCGACGGCAACGGATCATGAGAAGCAGCAGAAAAATTTAAATAATAATTCAATTACAAATAATCACAATAACATACTTACAACATCCAATAATGTTAATGTTAATGGAACGCAAAAGAGTGGAGGTAAGCAGCATAAATAAAAATTTATTGTAGACTTGTACTAATAACTGATTAATGTTTTTCCACTCGATGAGATAAAGAAACTAGTAATTAGAGGATTTTTTATATTTATGATTAATATTTAGCATACCTATGCACATTTATTGTACATGCCATGTTTGTGTATTTAAGTATTAATAAAACAATTTTATGATCAATATTTCATGTTCACCACAGCACTAACCTTTCTTATTATTATTTTTTTATTATTACTGATAAGGCTTAGACACTTTATCATTGATATAAGCTAGTTGCTGCTTTATTGATATCATTGGCATCGTATTTGAGTCATTAATTGTATTTGAGGTTAGGGATTGTTCACTTATGATGTTAACATCTCGATTATCATTTTTAGTGCATTCTTCTATAGAGCACAGAATAGCTGGCTAATGGATGTCTGGCTATTAATTTCAGTCGTCATTTTACAACAATCCCTTCCTTAATACACTTCAAATTTTAAATTTGCGTTATATAATTAGAACCCGAATAGCACAAGTCGATTAATCGAATAGAAATCCGTACCAAGCTGGCATGACACTATCATGGTGCTGGCTTCGATTTATATCCAGCACCATCCAAGAGTTAAACCAGCTTAGTGCCAGATTTCTAATCGATTAACCGACTTTTTCCATTCAGGGAAGCTTTGCTTATGCATGCATACGAAGAAAGTGTCTAAACCTTAACTTCTTTATTTTATATTTTTTGCATCTCAACTTTTGCACTTAGGTGGCACAGACAGTAGACAGATAAAAATGTTTCTTTATGCAACCTGCACATTCCTGCATGATTAATCATATATTTTGCGTTATTTTTCAATCTAACAAGTTTAAGCATTGCAAGTGTTAAAGTTTCGATTTCAATCTGAGTGATTAATATTAAGTATTATTTCCATTTGCTGTGATTATTAATATTTTTAAATGTTTGGTTGATTTTTTTAGTAACAAAACTGACACATTCTGTATCTGTATGTATGTATAAAAATAGAATAGTTTAATAACACTGATTAATTTGCCTTCTTTTTTATTTTCTCGCTCTGTAACTGAACAACATTCATATTATTATTTTTTTTTATTGCATATACAGTACAAAGTGGTTATTAATCTTATGGATATTCCTTCTAAAATATTTGATTTTTTGATTTTATTTAATGATCTTTTTTTCTCTCCTTTTCTCGTTTCTTTTAATGAATTGTTATTGTAGTGACGAATCCACAAAAGACTGATGATCAATTCTATTCATCAATTTTAACGTCACATAATTTAAATCATAAACATGATTATGTGAGACGGAATAGCTACGGTGATATTAGTGAGTATCTTAATTAAGTTGAATATTTTTTTCTCATGTGAGCTGCTTTTGAGAGGTTGATGTGAAGCATGTTGGATGCATTTTGAGCTCAATTGTAGAGATGACATGACCTTTGCTCATAGATTACACGACCTGGTCCTTTGTCATTGTTTTAGTGATCCTGAATAAGAGTACCCATGAATATATGTGAATCATGACGCAGATTCTTGGATGTCTAACCAAGCATATTCAGACGTGACCTGCAACTCTACCCATTTTAATAAATACTCGATTTTAGATATATTTGAATATTCATAAGAGTAAAGCAAACTTCTTAACAACTTGCCCCGAGTGGGAATCGAACTCATGTCCTTGCAATTTTTGATCACATACTCTTACCACTAAGCTATAAGAGTGCTGTTAAAATTGTTGGCAGAATACTAATCTGCTCGGAACGGTTTCTTTCCTACTCGAAAGACCATCTTTTGATCAGATTACGAATTTTAATGGGGCCATTATGGCGTGATCAATTAGCGATAGTTCAAATCATCTCTAGATAAATCCCGAATAGCACAAGTCGGTTAATCGAATAGAATCCAAGTGAAATTTGACTCCAAGCTGGCATAATGGTGGATTCGATTTAAGTCAAGCACTATGCCAGAATCTCACCGGCTTGGTGCCAGATTTCTATTCGATTAATCGACTTGTGCTATTCGGGAATATTCACAAACGTCCTAATAATAAATCTATAAATAAACAAGCTCTTTATTAAAATGCGTCACAATTCCCTCCATCCAATTATCCAACTTGCTCATATGATAAATTGATTCACTATAATCATCTTATTAATTTCCCTCATTCTTCTTTTCTCATGTTCTTCTTCATTTCTTCTATTTTTAGGCGAACGAAAAGATCCATTGAATGCATTAGTCAAGAATGGTGGATCAAAACGTAATGCTTTGTTAAAGTGGTGTCAAAATAAAGTTGTTGGATATCGAAATATTGACATAACTAATTTCAGTTCATCGTGGTAAGTGATGGGGGGTCATTAATCAATCATAATCCTGGGAAAACCTTTCAATATGTATTTTGAGATTAAATGGTTAATTTTGAGTTAAGCTTTCAAGGTTTAATATCTATTTTATCCCAAGATATCCGCTAGACTTAACAGAGTTGTTTCTAATCCTTTACTTTCTTCCAGGAATGATGGGCTAGCATTATGTGCATTGATGCACTCATACTTACCAGAAACTATACCATATGACGAGCTTACACCACTTGATAAGCGACAAAACTTTAGTTTAGCATTTGCATCGGCTGAAAAAGTTGGAATTAAGACGACATTGGTAAGAGATTCATAATCCTCATCAGCACATGATTTTATTAACGATTATTTCCTTTTTTAGAATATTAACGAAATGTGTCAACTTGAACGACCCGATTGGCAATCGATAATGTCATACGTGACTCAAATTTATAAGCACTTTGAGTCGCAGCCTTAGAGCTACAAACTATTTCCTTTCTTGATGTATTAATCCTATATATGTAGAGAAATGAATGAAAGCAAAGCGTGGACAGTTCTTCTCATTGTTGTTGAATTTACTTTAGCATATATTTTTATTTCTCGTCTGTAAATGAATTAATTTTTGATGTAAAATTATTTTGAAAATTTTGAAAAAAAAACTAAGCGAAAAAGAAGTAACAAAATTTTCCGAGCAACCAAAAGTAAAGGAAGGAAGAAAAAAAATTAAATCGCAATGGAGGGAAATTTGTTGGATTTGAGGAGATAATAGTGGGGACTAATAAGGATGTTATGCTATGTTGAGGACTAATAAGAGATTGATGAAAAAAATAACGGATGTTGAACTGATTGAAAGACTTTTCTGGATGTTCAGTTCCTTCCCCTTGATTAATATCTTGTTAAAATGCTTTTGAAATATTCAGCCTTTAATTACAATTGGAAAGATTTCGAGATTTCCAACATTCTGTTATCAATTGTACTGTCGAAGTTAACAACAATCGCTTGAATCAAGCTATACATAACTGAATCTGTCAGTGCAAGAATAAAGTCTTTGTGGCTGAATGATTAAACACAAGACCGGAAATTCAAAATCCTTTTTTTTTGTAAAGACGTGGGTTCAACTCCTAATTGAAACTGATTAAATCAATCGTGATTAATAAGATTTTTGGTATCAATGCAGAATACTGAATGATGATCAAATCATAACGGCCACTTCTGGTCAGTAAAAAGTGCATTTAAGTGTGAAAATCAGTAAATCAGATCCAAACCCTTGATAAGAGCACGTTAACGAAAATTCAACTCAAATTTACTCAAAGATCCTAAGATATCAGCCTTGCCCAACACAAAATTCTAAATTAAAATCAAGTCCTTCATTGTAAATCTTTCAAATCTCCTCAACCCTAAAGCAACCCTAAAGAATCCAAAAGAATTTTCCACCAACAAAAGAAAATCCAAAACAAAATATTGAAATGTGTATGCCTTAAAAAGAATGTCCGCAAAAGAATATAAATTTTATATCGAACAAAACAAAAATCCTAATTGGAAGTAAAAAAATGTAAACTTTAAAAGATATTTTTGATAAATGAAGAAAAAATGTGCGTGTGAGATTTAAAGTAAAAAACAAATTCCTAAAAAGAAAATGAAAACCATGAGCAGACTGACAAATAAAATTATGCATAACTTTTGCATGTTGACATATTATTGAATATAACTACTTTTTTGCAGCTCCAAAGTTCTAGTCAGTAACGAGTTTTTATGTTTTACATTTTGTTTATTGAGCTAATTTCGAGAGCATTAAGCAATTTGTAATTCTGTTGAATTAATTTTAAAAAATTTTTTAAAAAAAACTTTTCGAATTTTTTTTTAAGAAAATCGTAATCCATTTTTTTGTAATTTTAAGTTTTATACACAACAAGCATGCATTTTAAGAAGCTTTGTTTAAATAAAAAAAAATGAAAATATTATTATGATTATAGACTGAAATGTTAATGAGTTTTTACTAATTTTGACAATATTCCAGTTCAAACGATTATTTTATTTGCAGCATGAATTAGTCATGATTTTGAAAATTGTGTTACCCAATCTACTCAGATCGACACAAATACACAAGCTTTGCTATAGTAAAATTGCTATAATTTCTAACATGTCTTAAGATATTCACTTGAAAAAGCAATTCTGCATCTCCAACTCTTGACGCCAAATCAGATTATTCTTATAAATGTTATAAAACTGAACTTATCATAAATCGCTAGCATCAATGGACTAGAAGTATTAAATATTTTAAGAGTTCATCAAATGAGATCATTTCGATATCATTTAAATCACTAGTTTGGATAGATTTAAATCTGGTTCGTCGCCAAAGTGAGGTCGGATTGGGATTGGATTTCTTATCGATTAGCCGACTTGTACTTTCCAAGTAGCCTGATGCATTTTTCGAAAAATCCCTAACAATTTTGAAAGTCTATCATATTTTCATTTGAAGATTTAAAGTTGGTCAAATTCAGAAGTTTCTATCTTCTAAGTCAATAATTTTTTATCGAAACATTTACTTCAAAAAATGAACTTCACTTGTCGATGTCTCATCACGCGAAAATATTAAATTGTTCATGAGTCACGGCCAAGCGTGTAGCCAGGGGGGATTTGGGAGACAAATCCTCCGTCATCAGAGATTAATTGCGAGTAATAAATAAAATAAATAATAAATAATAATTCCAAATTAAAATAATAAATTTCTTCATTTTTTAGGGTTTTTAGGAAAAATTCGAAAAGCCTCCCCCCCCCTTTTTAAAATTTTATGTCCCCCCAATTAAAATTCTTTGCTTCTTTACAGAATCTTGATTTTATTTCCCATATTTAAATTTTTTGATCAACCTAAATGTTTCGATTCTTATGTCCATCTTCTTATCTACAATACCATCATCTACAATATCACAGATTCAGTGGTCTTCAGTTACTTATGCAAATTTAACAAATATCGTATGATTATCTTCTTTTATATTCCATTACAAATAAGAAAAAATCGAATGTTGTATAAACTCTCTTTGTTTTTATGGATTTGTATATCACGTGTATTTTCAATTTAAAAGTATTTTCAATCTAAAAATAACTTTAAATAGCTTTTGAGATTGAGAGTCTTTTAATTTGTTTAATTTGCCGGTTTTTTGAATGGCTAACGTTTTTTTGATAAATGATTGTTTAAAAATAAAATTAAACAAAAATGTTCTTACCTAAATTGAGATAGCCGAAATTCAGCCAAAAATTTCAATATTTTTTCTGTCTCATAAGCCTCCAGCACAAGAAAATAAGCAAAACTGAATGAATTAACATAAACCACGTGGCAATCTGAAATAAATACAGATTTAATTGTATTTGAGAGTCGCTCTCTTTCCAATTTTCGTATGGGGCTGTTCACTTATTACGTAACGCGAAAAAATGACTTCTTAGACCCCCCCCCCCCCCTCGTAACAAAATTTGTATGAAAAAAAAATTTCCTTGTTTGAATCGTAACAAAATCTTAGACCCCCCCCTCCCCCTAAAAGCGTTACGTAATAAGTGAATGGCCCCTATATGCTCATATTATTTTTGTATTGCAATTTTTGAATATTCGAATTTACTGAGGCTTAGGAGACAGTTGTGTGTTTGTTTAGTTTACTTTACACTAAAACATAAATATTTTTGGATCTTCGTCTGAGTTTTTCCATCAAATTTTATAATATATTCTATAATCAGTGTCCTTTTAGTAAATGTTTAAAATTTTGTAACAAAATAAACGTGCGTTCTCAAAGAAAGAATGTAAATTTATGTGTTGTGACGTCATTCTCATGCATTTGACTCTTCTAACATTGTTTTTACGTTTTTCTTAAATTTTTTAGGCTTAATCAAAATAATCGGAGCAAATTTAGAAAAATGTTGAGGAATATCGCTCGTGGACCACCTCGTAAGTTAAAATACAAATAAGTTTTCTTTAAGCATGTTCCATTTTTTGTGACAATCATAAATAAAGATTGCATAAAAAATTCCATTCACTATAAAAGATAACAACTCTCGACATTAATTTCTAACATCCAAAGATCTTGCTCATTTGAGTATGCTCATAATATTGAATAATGTCGGAACATGCTCGTTGTTTGCTAATTAATTAATAAAGGAATTATGAATTACTTCATTACTCATCACAAAACTTAGCATTTGAAATCTTCTATTTCTTTCTTTTATTTGACGAATATCTAAAGTTAATAGCTACTTAGTCAACTTATCAAAATTATTATTTTAAAATATTTTTTAAATTATTGTAGCCAGGGACATCATTGGTCTTCGTACCGTTCCTTACGCTGATTCATTTTTTAGAACATACAATAGACCATTGACACAAGAGTTTAATCAACTCAGAGGAATTAATGCCGATGTTGATATATCAACAGTTGGTTCAATCATTGCAGGAACTATGAACTCAAATGCTGTCAGTTGTAAGTAATTAGCATATTAAATTTAATAATTATCTAAATTCATTCTAAAATCAATTTTAGCCTTTGATTTGAATCCAATAATTGGGAATATTCCACGAGAAAATCAATACGTTGCTACTGTAGCTCCATTAGGTTACCCGTGGGTTACTTTTGGAGAGCAAAATGGCGACGAAATAGATCATCTAGCATCAATTGATTTATTTTACGTTATCTACAATAAAATCGAAAACGGAACTTACAAAGTGAAGTTTTTGGAACCAGAATCAATGTACGCATTTAATGACAGCTTGAACAAATTGGCATTTGTGCCATTAAACAGTAACTTTCAACATCCTTTGGTAATTGTTCCTCCACAACTCCAAACAGCAAGCATAACAATGTCATGCATTGTAAATGCACGAATCGATTGGGACAGTTTCAAAACATCCATTTCTTATCAAAATCTACAGGAATTGTCAACATTATGGAATTACAGAAGCATCGATTACATCCCAGATGGGACGACTTTAATTCGCTTTGATGTTGACCCAATCAGTTTTTGCAGTATTTTGGAGAAGGACTTTTTGCTGCAATTTAATGGACAAATGATTGATGTTGCTGTTGAAACTAATCCTTGGGCAGACGATGTAGCTTCTTATATTGTTACTTTCCTAAGAAATCAATAACCAGCCCGATTGGCATAATTTTAAATGTTAAAAAGCAGTCATACAAATGGTGATCACTTGTTTTAGTGATTTAAACTATGTTTTGAATTAATGTCGAGACGACTATTGCAGCAGCAACATTTAAAATTATGTCAATCGGGCTATTTGATTAATGAAAATCCTAGGTGTTCTAAAAAGCTTGTCTTAAAAATAACAACTTCAAAGTTTTGATTTTCCTTTGGTTTTTAACCACGTTTTTCTTAACTTGTTTTCTCCATTGTTTTAATTTTGGCACAAAATACACAAATATCTATTCATGATTGTTTAATGCAAATATAATTATTGGTAAAAAGAAATTAGATTTTGAGACTTTATTTTTATTCTGTTCTATGATTTTTTCAATCTGATATATGAAACTTCTAATTCATTAGCTTTGTTAACATTTATTTAAAATTAATATTATTAATTACATTTTAATTTGTTGTATTTTGTCAGATAAATAAATAGACGAGAGATTTAGAACTCCTTATAAAAATAATAGCTTTTATAGCATAGACTATATTCTTTATGATTTTTCAATCGACTAAGGAGCCGTTCACTTATTACGTTCGCATTTTAGGGGGGAGGGGGGGTTTGAAAAATTGTAACAAAATGTAACATAGGGGGGGGGGGGGGTGTCAAGAAGTATGTAACGTTCTAACTGTCGTCTGTCTTTTAAAAAAAAGTTCACGAAAAAAGTTTGTTTACAAATTCACACAAAAACTAGTGTATCGGGTAGAAACTCAATGCGGATATATTCACACCATATCACCAAAAGTTTTATGGCATAAGTTTGAAGGTATAAAGCTTAACATTCTATAAAAGTTTTTAAATTTTTTTTTTCATCAAAAGTTTAATTTTATAAAAATCACAGTAAACTTTTTTTTTTGAAAAATTAGCAAAGAAAGGAAAGTTTTTTTGTTTTTTCTGAAGCAACGGCTGTTCCTACCTTGCCCAAAAACAATACAACTCTTCTATAGAGCAGCACGGATCAAATGAAGAAAACTAGAAGTCTCTACGATGTCTCGTTTTTGAGATTTCTTGCTGATTAACTTGCTTGCTTGTTTGCTTGCTTCCAGAAAGCGTATTTTGCGATTTTCTCAGCAATGCCTCATCTTTTCATCTTTCGACAAGTTAAGCTGTCTTGCTCCATTTCCTCGCAAAATTCGAAAAACTGATTTTTCAATCTGAACAAAACCAATAGATTCACACGTGAAAACGGGGTGAATATAAACATTTTTTTTAAATTTTCCACCTTTTTAATGATAAAATAAATTATGAACGTTCAGGGGGGGGGGGGGGTGAGTTGTAACATATTGTAACAAGGGAGGGAGGGGGGTGAAAAATCGTTTTTTTTGCGTAACGTATAAAGTGCCCCTAAAGTCTTTTTAAGTAAACTCGATTGTTTCAAAATGTATTAATTTAACTCGAGATTTGAAATTTTTCACAAATCAGGAATTTCTTAACTTTTTTGTTAGAATCTTTCACATTTATCTTCTTATATATCCTGTAAATGTCAATAATCTAAAAATCAATTGCATTTCTGAAAATGTTGCAACAAAGATCGCTACTGATATTATTCTAATTTCTGACATTTAACGATACTGCTGAAGTAGAAAATAACTTTTTATATTCACACCGTTTTCACGTATGAATCTTTTGGTTTTGTTCAGATTGAAAAATCAGTTTTTTGAATTTTGTGAGGATATGGAGCAAGATAGCTTTAAATGTTCAGAGATGAAAAGTTTGTGCCTTGAATTTCACATCTTTTGCAAAAACC